ACGGTCCGGAGGAGCGGTGCTGGGTCCCGGTGAGGGATGTCCTCAATCCCTCCCTGTTGCGGGATTTCCACTGTCACCATTCGGCTCGCCCTGCTCTGCGTCCTCCTGGCCGTCCCCGAGGCCAGTGTCGGCGCTGCGCATCAAAGGGGGGGGGGGGGGGGTACTGTCACGACTTCCTCCGAAGCTACCTCCTCTCCTTGTTCGGGCAGGCTTCGGCGTTCATCGTCACTGCCGCTCCTCATCTCATCATTCCATTTGTTTTGTCTTGTTTATTACACACACCTGGTTCATACCCCCTCATCAGTACCTGTATAAGTATTCCCTCTGCCCCCATGTCTTTGTGTGTGATTGTTTATTGTGGAGGTTACTATAGGTCGGTGGAGCTATATTGTATTTTGTATCGCCAGGATATTCACCCGTGAGCCTTGTTTTCTCCAGTGCGTCGTTTTACCGCACTGTAGTGTTTTACGCATTGCTACGTACCACTGTATTGCCGAATAAACCATTTATTCTGTGATTTACCCTCCTGCGCCTGACTCCATCCAAAATCACCCGCTACAAATAGCCACACCATACCGAACCTTCACAAACGTTTCTAAACTTTATTAGGGTAATATCAAAAGTAAGTCAAGCCATTGTCTATAGGAAAAATACGAGCAGAAGAGAAAATCTAAACTAGGGAAAAAATGCACTACCCTCCCCTGTGCCCCCCCAAAAACCACACAACCCTGCCCAAAGCAACAACACAAAATTGGGACAACCCTCCCCTATTTTGGATCACTCCTCCCCAACAGTAAATTACGAGCTGTCCCTAACCCAGTGGAAGGCCCAGAGTTTTTCCTGGTCAGGTCACAGGTTCAGGAAAATCTCAGGGCTCTACTCATGTGCATCCGTAGCTCTGTAGTCAGTGTGTATGGGGTACGCTGTATGTAGGTGTATAGAGGCATAACACAGGCCGTTTTCTGGGCCAAAACTGACAAAAATTTGAACTGAGAGGAAGAGGAAGCTAGATAATCAGACCTCATATCTTAGCATGTGGTCGGGCCAAATGGACCCATGTTGTTGGCCTGTGTCTTACCTCACTGGTGTATCAGTCTATACTTACTGTTGGTACTGTGTACAGGCAGCTGGACACAGACATCCAGGAGGACTTTCTTCTGAGGATAGGGGGCATGTTTGGTCTGGACAGAGCAGACGTCACCCAGCTCTACAACCTTCTGATGGAGTGTATGGACTACAGACAGTCTGTGAGTAATTTGACTGTGGGCCGGTTGCCTACTCATGGACTAAAATGCACTTTCAATTGAGATTCTCCTTTAAAGAATGATTTAGGCTTAACCTGGGTCTAGGAAACCATCCCGTCCATGTTCAGTTCATGATTATTTTTTACCTTTCAACAGGCTCCCAGGCTTAGTATAATATTTACATAAAGGGTGGAAATCCAATGACTGTTGTTCACTGCATAGAACTATTTCTATCTTTATAAAACACAGATAACAATCTTCGACTCGGAATCCGAAGATCAACAGGAGGCAGACTGCGCCATTTTGACAGCCACACTGAAAGGTACCCCTCCTCCTGCCCTTTATGCTTGTGTCTTTCACTGGAATGTGTGTTGTCATTCAGTAGATACTCAGATGAGACTTGACCCAGTCATGTCGTGCCTAGGGCTGTGGTGGTCATGACATTCTGGAGATTGTCAAGCAAATAACTGCCGGTCCGGTAATTGACCGTTAATTAACATAAACACATTTAGCATCTCCTGGCTTCCATGCATAGCCTACAAGCCACTGATGCAGACCTTTGGAACATCTACATTTCAAAAAGTCTAATAAATCCATTAAATATAGCCTATACCATCACAATAAATCCATTATTTATTTTATACAGGTATAAAGAAACATGATATGAAGATAATGTAGCTTATTTCAGAAGAACAGAATAGCATACTCTGAGTTGTCCTTATGTTAGGCCCTGATCTGGCTATGCCATGTGGCTGTGGGCTACACTATTTAATTTAGCAGACAAGATATGCTTAGAATGCCGTGGCATTATTTTATAGTATTTTATAGTAGGAAGAATACAATTAAACATAGCTGAATAAAATATAAATTATATTTTCTCCAAACGATTTGAGGGAGTGCACAAATGTGGCTAGTCTGTGTTGAGCGGTTAACAAAGAATCAGGTCCTCCTACATTTAGAGTTATTTATGCAACTTTAGTTGTGACACAAACGTTGGGCTATATGTTTTGATATTTCATTCTAAGGCTGCATGATGCGACTCTAATAATGATTAGAAAAAAGACGCATGAAAGACATGAGCTCTGCTTTGTTTTTTGCGCAGGCTCCACTCGCTTCATCAGTCTCTCATTCACAATTTGACAAGAACTTGATAATTACTCAAATTTCCCAGCAGCATCTCCTTTGTGTGGCCTGTGTGCCCTTGGGTTGAATATAATCATTAGAATTCCCTTCTCTCACTCACGTCTCTCTCAGATATCTCAATTCTTATTAGCCAATGCCCTTCACGTGATTGGGTCCTTCTCGCAGGCATCTCAGGTCCTTCTCACAGGCTACAAGTGAAGACAGACACATCGGGGATGCAACTGCGCGCGTCCTTATCGAATTCCGAGGCGCATATTGAAAGATGTTGGAGGAACTATCCACTATTTACTTTTTACTTTTCGTCAGCCAACAAGATGAGTAGGCCTAACGAACAGCAAAAGCACTAGCGTATGTCAATCTACTATCCCCCATAGTACAAATGTTGACCTATTCTATTGGTCAACTTGTCCTTCTGTGCGAGAAATAAATATTCCAAACATAGTCTGGGACAGTTATGTGATCCGATAGATCCCAAATTAATACAACCACTGGCATAAAAAAAAACGTTTAAAAGCAATGAGGCTGATGCAACAGATCAGAATGTTTAGCTTAAAATGTTGATAAACTATTAGGCTATTTCTTCACATTATAAGCACAGCAATGTGCACTCGGCAGTAGGCTATAAACGCAAATGTTCCAAATTGCAATCAATTACTGGGAAAACACCATTCTCAAAAGTGACCGCAAATGCGATTATGCATGTAATGCTTTATTATAAAGGTGTATTCTTATGGTGAAAATTATCTTCCCCAAACTTGAAACTCGTCTGTCCTCGGTAGCAACACTCACTACCGAGTTCCAAACTGCCTCTGGAAGCAACGTCAGCACAATAACTGTTCGTCAGGAGCTTCAGGAAATGAGTTTTCATGGCTGAGCAGCTGCACACAAGCCTAAGATCACCATGCTCAATGCCAAGCGTTGGCTGGAGTGGTGTAAAGCTCGCCGCCATTGGACTCTGGAGCAGTGGAAACGCTTTCTCTGGAGTAATGAATTACGCTTCACCATCTGGCAGTCCTATGGACAAATCTGGGTTTGGTGGAGACCAGGAGAATGCTACCTGCCCCAATGCATAGTGACAACTGTAAAGTTTGGTGGAGGAGGAATACTGGTCTGGGGCTGTTTTTCATGGTTCGGGCTAGGCCTATTAGTTCCAGTGAAGGGAAATCTTAATGCTACAGCATACAATGACATTCTAGACAATTCTGTGCTTCCAACTTTGTGGCAACAGTTTGGGGAAGGCCCTTTCCTGTTTCAGCATGACAATGCCCCTGTGCACAAAGGAAGGTCCATACAGAAATGGTTTGTCAAGATTGGTGTGGAAGAACTTGACTGGCCTGCACAGAGCCCTGACCTCAATCCCATCGAATACCTTTGGGATGAATTGGAACGCCGACTGTGAGCCAGGCCTAATCGCCCAACGTCAGTGCCGACCTCACTAATGCTCTTGTGGCTGAATGGAAGCAAGTCCCTGCAGCAATGTTCCAACATCTAGTGGAAAGCCTTCCCAGAAGAGTGGAGGCTGTTATAGCAGCAAAGGGGGGACCAACTCCATATTAATACCCATTATTTTGTAATGAGATGTTTGACGAGCAGGTGTCCACATACTTTTGGTCATGTAGTGTATATCATTCACAAGTGATAGGCTAATATTGTCACCCATCAGACTATTCTTGATTTAATCTTGTCTTTACATATACTAAATAACATTTTTATGAAATTTGTTCTGATTTCGAATGGACCATTATCATGCACCTGTTTTGAAACAGGGGCAGGGGAAAAAATTACATGTCATCTATGCACTTAAATAGCAAATGGAGGACACTTTTCCCGTGGTTCATTTTCATGCCAGTCAGGTAGGCTGCACTCCTGTTGTAAAGAGAAGCAATGTGCTTAATATTAGGAACGTTGAGAAATAAATATAGTAGGCCTGGCCTATAGAAAGCTGATGGGATCCTCCTCTTTTTAACAGAGGCCATCAAAACTTTGTTTTCTCACGGAATTGCATAGCCTATAGAAATGTTGTGCAACATGAGCTCATGGGCTCTGATGAAGTGTTTGATTAGATTTTGATTATATTTGCATTGATGTCAGAGTGATTAGAGGGACAATAGAGTGCTGAGTACCAGGCAGTTAGCAAGTTTGGTAGGCTACTAATGGCCATCAGCAGCATCAGACCTTGGAGAAGCCTGTAACTAAATAAACCTATACATGATCTGTTTGTAAGTCGCTCTGGATAAGAGCGTCTGCTAAATGACGTAAATGTAAATGTAAATGTACAAAATTGTGAGTTAGGCAGGGCGAATGTTGCGTTAGGATCGGCCCACAGTCATTGACAGATTTTGTGATGATTGACAGGTACCAAGGCATCTCCGGTGGAGCAGCTCAGTACAGCTCTGGCTTGGGACAGAGCAGACGTGGCTAACAAACACATCCAAGTGTACGGCCAGTACTGGCAGGTAACACAGACAAGGAGGCAGCCAGGGCAAGGTTACCCATTGTCATTGATTTTATGTTAAATTTTTGTTAAAACATTTTTATTCAGGAAGTAAAATGGAACTGCTGTGTTTGATGGTATAACAGTCATGCTTGATGGTGGTGGTTGTTGTCTGTCAGGTTGGCTCATTGGAGCAGGCCATGCTGGATGCTCTCGTCATGGACCGTGTTGGCTTTGTCAAACTGTTGATCGACAACGGTATGACCATGAACCGCTTCCTGACCGTGTCACGTCTGGAAGAGCTCTATAACACGGTACTGACTTGATCACTTTCTCTCTCTTGTCATCTTTTCAGCTCCGTATTTATGAGTTACAATATATTGTATGCTGTACATAAAGAAGCAATTCTGTGTTTTCATATTGAAAGTACAGTGGCTATTAGCTTACTCATATATCACAATTGCCATAGCAGTGGTTTTAATTGCAATCACAATAATACAGTGTAAGTATCTCTTTGGTTGTTTGGTTTTCCAATTGTTTGAATATGTTTTGTAGATCACATAGCTCTTTGTCATTAGTCCAGCTGTGGATGGTCTTTCCAGTTATAAACAATATTCAATAATTCATTACATTTTTAATAATGTAGCTCCATAAGGAGACAAGTAACAACATATATGATCATATAAAATTGTGGAAGTTTGTTTTCTGAAAGTTTTTTTAATCTGGTCTACCACTTCATTCCATAGGAACAAATGTATTATAATCCAGATTACTAGCCATTTAAATATTATTCTGGTTGGCATTTGGCATTTGGTTATTTCTGAGTTGATTGTGGATAATGAAGAGATGACATGTCATTATTTCGTATAGCAACAGGGACCAACAGACAATTTCCTCCATCAACTTGTGGAAGATGTGAAACAGGTGAATACTGTTGAACATGGAACATTAGTGAAAATGTAAGGTTTTCGTATGTGTGTTTCTACAGTATTTGTTTGTGGAAATATTTATGTTTCAAATACTCAGGTGTGTGTGCGTGTGTTGTTGTGTGTGTGTGTGTATGTGTGTGTGTGTGTGTGCGTTTGTGTGTAGAACCATATACCCAAAGGATACAGATACTCCCTCATAGACGTGGGGCAGGTGATTGAGTATCTGATAGGAGGAGCCTATCGGAGCACATACACACGGAAACACTTCCGGGCCTACTATAAACGCCTACAAGCCCACTCTATGGTAAGAGACCATGGTCGCGTTTCAGGCCGACTATTTTGAAGTTGCCTGCCAGATGTCACAGTGTCTGGATAGGTATTTAACCTAGGCCTATCAACTGACCGCATCATATGATATATGTTGTGTTCCCCTGCTCAGACGTTGCATGCATCAACCAATGGTTGCGTGCCAAGTCATCGACTGTGCTGTCGGGCACCATGTTGCTATAACATACACTGAGTATACCAACCATTAGGAACCTTCCTAATATTGAGTTGCACCCCTCCCTTTTGCCCTCAGAACAGCCTCAATTTGTCAGGGCATGTCAAAAGCATTCCACAAGGATGCTGGCCCATGTTGACTCCAATGCTTCCCACAGTTGTGTGATGTTGGCTGGATGTTTTTTGGGTGGTGGACCATTCTTGATACACACAGGAAACTGTTGAGTGTGAAAAACCCAGCAATGTTGCAGTTCATGACACAAACAAGTGACATCAATAAGGAATCATAGCTTTCACCTGGATTCACCTGGTCAGTCTATGTCATGGAAAGAGCAGGTGTTCTTAATGTTTTGTATACTCAGTGTGTGATGTGGTTAGCAGATAGGCCTACATAAAATACCTATCCAGGTGTTTTAAGATCTGGAATGCGTCAGCAACATCTTGGCAGAGGAACACGACCATAGTAATGTAGAGCCCCACTATTCAGTCGATGACATGGCACACAGCCATTGGATGCTGCATGCAGTGTGACTACAATGTAGTTGGTCTACAACACAGCCCATGTTAAATGTCTGTATACAGTACACGCACGGCAAGATATTACCCTTGGCCCTCAAGCAGTGGACACCAATGGACACCAATAATATAGCAGTATTTTTGTTGTTGTTTTGGTTTTGGTTTGTTATGTTTTTGTTTTGAAATGTAACCTTGTGTACTTTGTACTGATTTGAGTGGCCATCATTTCCAGGACACTGGACTGGACAGGACAGTTCAGGACCCCGGACCAAACAGGGCAGCCTGCACCATCAACCCACCCCAAAGCCCTAACAGCAGTCCGTCATGCCCACCCGTCTTCCACACTGCTCAGCCCCACAAACGCAATGTCTGTGAAAGATCTGGGACCAGCACAAACAGATCTGGGACTAGGCTAACTTGTCTCCTACAAACGCAAAGTCTTTTAAAGACTCTTGTCTCCACTCACACACTGAAACACACACACAGGCTATTGATTGCTAGTATATTCTGTGGCTACAAATACCCCCTGTGCATTATTGTTCTCATTGACTGGCTGCCTCTCCCCTCCCTCCTCTCTCTCCTCTCTCCCTCCCTCCTCTCTCTCCTCTCTCTACAGGAGAGATCCATGGTGCCCAGGGAACTGAAGGAAGCCCATCAGCAGAGCTCCAAGCTGGGCGACTCTTCTCTGGTTGTGTTCAACTTCAACGACCTGTTTGTGTGGGCCGTGCTGCAGAGACGCCAGCAGATGGCGCTATTCCTGTGGCAGCACGGGGAGGAGGCCATGGTCCGGGCTACGGTGGCCTGTAAGCTGTACCGTGCCATGGCCCACGAGGCTCAGCAAAGCAACATGGATGACAACACGACGGAGCAACTCAAAACCTACTCCCTGTCAGTGTTTCCTTGTACACATGTTGAAATGTTTTTTTTTGTATGTTGTTTCAGCAGAGTGGACTTTTGTGGTTGTGTTACTATGTTTATGAGTGCGTGTTTTCCGGTCTGTGTTTCTCAATGTTCGTCTGTTGTGGAATGGATGGCTGCAGGGACTTTGGTCAGCTGGCTGTGGATGTGCTGGACAATGCCTTCAGGCAGAACGAGCGCATGGCCATGAAGTTGCTGACCTCGGAGATGGAGGCCTGGAGCCACTTCACCTGCCTGCAGATGGCCATGTCCTCCCAGCTCCGCCCCTTCGTCTCCCACTCCTGCACCCAGATGCTGCTCACCGACCTGTGGACTGGTCGCCTCAACATGAGGAAGAACTCCTGGTTCAAGGTGAGGGTCTCAAACTCATTTTGTCTTCTGTATTGCCTTGGCCTCAAAAGCCACGGGCCGTACATACTAAGACAACCGCAGATCACATTAAATCAGATAATGGGCCGTATCTGGCCTAAGGGCCACCAGTTTGAGTGTTCAAGGCACCTTGCCTCCTTTTATGATTCTGGAAAGTAATGTAAAGCCAGTGCACCTCAATGTTCTTTCCATGCTGAGATTGAATGACAGCATAAATAAGCATTAGTTCAAGTGTATTCTTAGTCTATTAATATGATTAGTCTATAAATAGTATATTATTTAGTCTATTCATATCAGTCGATGTTGTGCTGTTCCAGCAGTTACACCTCAGATTGGATGTTTGTTTTTGTGTCTCAATCTTGTGTGTGTGTGTGTGTCAGATCATCCTGAGCATCCTCATGCCCCCTGCCATCCTGCTACTAGAGTTTAAGAGCCAGGCGGATATGTCCCATGTGCCCCAGTCCCAGGAGGCTTTGCAGTTTGTTTGGGACACGGGGAGACCAGAGGCAGACCAGGAGGAGGGGCATACAGTAACTAAGGTGCCAAAATGTACACCGTACACCAGTCGCTCTGAATTTCAGTCCTTCAAATTCCTGTCATGTAGGTTGGTATTCTAATGTGAGATTGTTGATACCAGGGTTGTTTTTATTAGGCATCAAATGGAAGAAAATGGACTGAAACAGGGAGGGACTTTGCTCATTATTGATTTCCGTTGCAAAACGTTTTCTGTTGTGTGCCCTAATGAACGTGGCCCTGATCTCTTGGTGCTCTGAAGGATGGCCAGTATGTGGAGAAGGGGTCAGCGTGCTGGGAGAGGATCTCAGACCCCGTAGCTGACACAGTCACACCCGTTACCACTCAGTGTCTCTTCTGGACCAGGAGGCTGTACGAGTTCTACAACGCTCCTGTCGTCAAGTTCATGTTCCACACGGTGAGCTAGCAGCATGCACCCACCCCACTTCTCTGTTTATCACTGTCATTTCTCCCATACAGTTTGCAATATGTTGAGGGAAAAAAAGTAATCATAAAACTCTTCTACGCCTCAGGACATGCTTATTATGCAAAGAGGGACCTTTTGTTGAAAATATTTCTCAGTCTGATACAAATGACAGTGATTAGAATCACTAGATCCCTGTGTCTTGGTGGTTTTCACACTCTGGTCCATGTGCTGATGCTTTTTCACTGTGTGGTCTAGATGTCCTACCTGGCCTTTCTCATGCTGTTCTCCTACACTGTTCTGGTGAAGATGGAGGATCGGCCCAGCACTCAGGAGTGGCTGGTCATTACCTATATTGTATCCACCGCAGTGGAGAAAATAAGAGAGGTGAGTGTGTGTGTAATAAGTAAAAAGCTGTCTTATATCTGGCATGTTACACTCAAAGGTCTGACACAGCTTATCTGTTACACCTGATAGGGATTCACATCTCTCTTTCTTTTAATCTCTTATTCTATCCTTCTTTACCTCTCTTTCTATTTCTCTCTCTCTCTCTCTCTCTCTCTCTCTCTCCTCTCTCTCTCTCTCTCTCTCTCTCTCTCTCTCTCTCACTCCCTCCCACTCTGTCTCTGTCTCGTTCTCTTTCACATGTTCTCCCCCTCTTTTATCACTGTTCAACCTCATACCCACAGTCAGAATACAATTTCACGTATTTCCTTTATTTTGCATGCAGTCTCATCTTTAACTTAGTAGGACATTGTAATTGCTAACCTTAAAAATTAACTTGTTTGTAATTAAGCTATTTCACAAGATACAGTTGAAGTCGGAAGTTTACATACACCTTAGCCAAATACATTTTCTCAGTTTCTCACAATTCCTGACATTTAATCCTAGTAAAAATTCCCTGTCTTAGGTCAGTTAGGATCACCACTTTATTTTAAGAACGTGAAATGTCAGAATAATAGTAGAGAGAATGATTTATTTCAGCTTTTATTTCTTTCATTACATTCCCAGTGAGTCAGAAGTTTACAATTAGTATTTGGTAGCATTGCCTTTAAATTGTTTAACTTGGGTCAAACGTTTCGGGTAGCCTTCCACAAGCTTCCCACAATAAGTTGGGTGAATTTTGGCCCATTCCTCCTGACAGAGCTGGTGTATCTGAGTCAGGTTTGTAGGTCTCCTTGCTCGCACACGCTTTTTCAGTTTTGCCCACAAATGTTCTATAGGATTGAGGTCAGGGCTTTGTGATGGCCACTCCAATACCTTGACTTTGTTGTCCTTAAGCCATTTTGCCACAACTTTGGAAGTATGCTTGGGGTCATTGTCCATTTGGAAGACCCATTTGCAACCAAGCTTTAACTTCCTGTCTTGAGATGTTGCTTTAATATATCCACATAATTTTCCTTCAATCATGATGCCATCTATTTTGTGAAGTGCACCAGTCCCTCCTGCGGCAAAGCACCCCCACAGCATGATGCTGCCACCCCCATGCTTCACGTTTGGGATGGTGTTCTTCGGCTTGCAAGCCACCCTCTTTTCCTCCAAACATAACGATGGTAATTATGGCCAAACAATTCCATTTTTGTTTCATCAGACCAGAGGACATTTCCCCAAAAAGTACGATCTTTGTCCCCATGTGCAGTTGCAAACCGTAGTCTGGCTTTTTTATGGCGGTTTTGGAGCAGTTGCTTCTTCCTTGCTGAGCGGCCTTTCAGGTTATGTCGATATAGGACTTGTTTTACTGTGGATATAGATACTTTTGTACCTGTTTCCTCCAGCATCTTCACAAGGTCCTTTGCTGTTGTTCTGGGATTGATTTGCATTTTTCGCACCAAAGTACGTTCAACTCTAGGAGACAGAATGCATCTCCTTCCTGAGCGGTATGACGGCTGCGTGGTCCCATGGTGTTTATACTTGCGTACTATTGTTTGTACAGATGAACGTGGTACCTTCAGGCGTTTGGAAATTGCTCCCAAGGATGAACCAGACTTGTGGAGGTCTACAATTATATATATATATATATATATATATATATATATATTTTATGATGTCAAGCAAAGAGGCACTGAGTTTGAAGGTAGGCCTTGAAATACATCCACAGATGATGTCAATTAGCCTATCAGAAGCTTCTAAAGCCATGACATAATTTTCTGGAATTTTCCAAGCTGTTTAAAGGCACAGTCAACTTAGTGTATGTAAACTTCTGACCCACTGGAATTGTGATACAGTGAATTATAAGTGAAATAATCTGTCTGTAAACAATTGTTGGAAAAATTACGTGTCATGCACAAAGTAGATGTCTTAAACCGACTTGCCAAAACTATAGTTTGTTAACAAGAAATTTGTGGAGTGGTTGAAAAACGAGTTTTAATGACTCCAACCTAAGTGTATGTAAACTTCTGACTTCAACTGTACATGAGAACATACTAGAATTGTTGCTCCACAATTTATAATATGATTCTATTCACCATCACAAAGCATTTTAATTGTTGAAAAAAAAGAACACACACCAATACATAAATACTTGTATGTCTTTTTATTAGGGCTGTCAAACGATTTTTCTTTTAAAAGAGCGCTAATGGCAGGATTTGCTGTGATTAATCACGATTAATCACAAATTCAGAATTTGCTCAAATTGAGCTGTAATTAGATTGTTTTATATATACAAAAAGTATTGCAAGAATATTGACATCTAGATGTTGTCCACAGTAACAGTTAGCAAAATAAAATAAATTGATAAAGCACACTTTCTTTAACCTCAATGTCAACTTGTTTTGACATCGCATTGTTGTTTTTAGCTGTATAGATTATGTATTTTTTGATGTTTTCAGTGTATTTTGAACGCTTTTAGACAATGCGAATAATCACGATAAAACAATTGTGCACAACAAAAACTTGGGTTGACTGATTAACTCTGACAGCCCTACTTATTACTGCATTTTTTCAGAAAGACATGTCTACTCCGGGCATAGTATAACATAGTTTTATCCTCTACCACCCCTCCTCATCGGAGGACAACTTTATTGGTATACTTTATTCTACTATGTTATACTGCTGTTATATTGAATCAAAATCTACATTAGACAACATCCCCTCTTCCTCCTCCTGACTGTCTTCTCCCTCTTCATAGAATCCTCATACATCTTGGATCTCCTTGTGTATCTTTGCTTTCATCTGGGCTTCTCACTTTCTATCTGCTCTGCAAATCTCTTCCTCTCCTCCTTTTCTTTTCCATTCTGTCTTGCTCCTCCACTTTCTGTTTCAACTTATCCTCCTCCCGAGATATTTTTTGCTCCTTCTCTTTTAACCTCTTCTCCTCCCTTTCTTTCTTTCTCCTCATAATCTCATTTGATTTCCTCTCTTTCATTCACATTTTCATCCATCTTTCTTATCTCACTTCATTCAAAGAGGTTGTTGCAGCTCTATCTATTTGTTGTAAAAAATATATATATATATGGGGGGGGGCAAATCATACTCAAATGAACTTTTTTGTTGTTGACATTATTGTTGTTATCAACGTTTTTATTCTGATACCCGTTATTTTTGTACTATACTCTTCTTAATTTATTCTATTGAATGAAAGGTTGTCTTCTTAGCCTCGATCTTTATGAAGGCAACTCTCTCATCGTATGACATGGCTGTGATGTGCTCGGTTGCACAGTTGGCCTCTGCCTTTCTCAGCACACTGCTGTTGGGAGTGTCAATCTCTTCGTTCGCGCTCTCAGTTCCCTCTTCCTCCATTTCTTTGCCCTGCTGTCTTTTACACTGTCCTCATTCTCCCTCTCTTTCACCGTCACCAGTTCCAGGTTCCAGGGTATCTGTAGCTCCTCCTCTGCCCGTGCGAGCCCCTCATCTTCACAGGCATCACTAGGGTGGCGCAGAGCAGAGTGGTGGGAGGCTCATCCAGGTGGTTGGCCACAGTGGAGCCGTTGTCAGGCCAGTGATCGCATGGGGCTAAGGGCAGATACCCCCCTCTTCATCACGGTCCCTGTGGATGAGCTTGTTGATGATGTGCCTGTGGATACATGGCACAGTGGCCAGTGGCATAGCGGAGTTTGGTGGGGTCTAAGTGCCCCCCAAATGTGCAGTTGTATAGCTAATCTCATGCTATTTTACACATTTTGCCATGAGGCTGAGAGAAAATGTTGCTGTTTTAGAGCTCAGGGATTCTTGAAAGACGGGACAATCTTTTTTTCCACAAATATTTGTCTTAATATTAACACAATTTGAAATATATATTTTGATAGACCAAAGTATCAGCTATCATACCAGGTAAAGGAACAACCTCCTAAAATCTTAAATGTTTTCATAAAATGCAACTAACTGGATTTATGTCAACTCCGTCAGACAACATAAAAGGCATTTCATTTGTACAATTATTGTCCAACAAGTGTTTAAAGGCCTTGATTATTTAATTCTAACATTAGATTATTCAAATATGTAATACAAATCTCCAAACGTATTTTTGTTTTGTTTTATAGCACAATTAAATGCTCCAGATTTGAATAAATTCGCCAACAAAAGGTTGCAATAGTAAATTCCACATCTAAGAGGAAAACAATTAGCCAGCTAGCAACTCCAGCAAAGTTTAAGTGCATGAACATTTATTTGGCTGTAGGCTAATCACCCACCAGCAGGCTATGCCCACTTACAAGCAATGCAGGTGTGGATCTATCTGTTTGCTAGCCAGCTAAATTAGCTAGCTGGCTAGCTTGCTTAACTTAACAGTAGACAGAACTGGCTTTCGTGATTATTATCCATAGTGTCCAGCATACTGCTGGCACTGGTTGTGCTGAGAAGTCTGAAATATGGTCCAACTAGCAAGTGTTGCTCTAGGAAAATATTCTCAATCCCTTGCTGAATGAAAATTGGCCACAATTCAGAAGCTCAAGCTAGCAACATCAAAGCAACTTTGTAATGACAAACCCACTAGTGTTTTCAAATCTGCGCTCCTGCATATGGTCAGCTGTCGCGCACACAGGCAGACGCACAGACGGACGGACAGCCAGGAGCCAATATTATTAACCTTTACGACATGCATTTCTCAGCTAAATTACACGTTTATTCTGTATCACTCAACTCTCATTTATGAGTTTCGTTTGTAATGAGAGGGATATAGCTAGATATGTATTTTGATGTGTTGCTGTAGTCATGGATGGATCAGACCGACGGATAGAACGTGCGCGAGAGAATGTATCAATAGGCCTATGTGTCATAATTACCAGGAGAAATCTGACATGCAATTTGTAAACGAAGGTGCTGTACTTATAATTCGTAAAACCTACTTTTGTATCACTTTGAAGTGATCCAAATGGCAAATTCATCCTTCATCTATACATTTTGAGATATATTAAACCAGAAAGAAATTGTGACATTTGATTTGTGACTTA